AATTGCCCTTTTAATATTAACAAAGGAAGGGGAGATTTCCCAATTACACTTAAGAGAATTTCTTTCTTAACTCTCTACTCACTACAATGTATTGTATTATTTTTGGATGATTTCTACAAGTGAAGGAATGCATCTATTTATAGAGGTAAAGACCTTCTCTTAATGTCATTGGTGACATCAAACTACCTCCTCTTGATGTCATGGGTGACATCAAAGGAGGAAGCTTCCTCCTAGCATCCACACCAACTCTTTTCACCAACTCTTCCAATTGGCATGCCATTGTTGACTAAACATAAACCAACATTTTCACCCCACTTACCTTTGTTCTCTTTTCCACCCCGTGTCTTTGGGAGTACGTGCTTTGTTCATGACCTTACTCCAGGAAAAGATAGGTTAGCTCCTCGTGCTCTTAAGTGCATATTTCTAGGTTACTTAAGAACGCAAAAGGGATATCAATGTTATTCTCCTGGCCTTCAACAATTTTTTATGTATGCTGATGTTACCTTCTTTGAAATCCAATCATACTTCACAGGTCCAGTTAATCACTTAGATATTTCTGAGGTGCTACCCGTTCCTTCTTTTGGAGATTCAGTCCCTATCTCCCATTCATCTTCCTCCATAGCTCCACTGCCTACAGTTCCAGTTGCAGCTCCACCACCTATAGCTCCAGTGTCACCACCGAGTCCAGTGCCACCACCTAGTCTAGTTCCGCCAACTATACCCCTAGTGCCACCACCTAGTCTAGTTCCATCAACTATAGCTCCAATGCCACCACCTAGTCAAGTTCCACCAACTATAGCTCCAGTGCCACCACCTAGTCCAGTTCCACCTTCTACAGCTCCACCACTCCTGACTTATCATCGTCGTCCGCCCCCAGCATCAGGCCCAGCTGATTCACGTCCTACACCTGACCCTACTAATTCTGCGGACTTGTCTCCTCTTAATCAACCAGTTGCACTACAAAAAGGTATACGGTCCACACTTAATCCTAATCCTCATTATATCGGTTTAAGTTACCATCGTCTCTCATCATCCCATTGTGCATTTGTGTCATCTTTGTCCTCTGTTTCCATCCCTAAGTCTACAGGTGAAGCACTGTCTCATCCCGGATGGCGACATGCTATGATTGACGAGATGTCTGCTTTATATACGAGTGGTACTTGGGAGCTTGTTCCTCTTCCTTCGGGTAAGTTGAATGTTGGCTGTCATTGGGTGTATGCAGTCAAAGTTGGTCCAGATGGCCAGGTTGATCGACTTAAGGCTCGTCTTGTTGCCAAAGGATATACTCAGATATTTGGACTCGATTACAGTGATTCTTTCTCTCCCGTGGCTAAAATTGCATCAGTCCGCCTTTTTCTATCCATGGCTGTTATCCGCCATTGGCCTCTCTATCAGTTGGACATTAAGAATGCTTTTCTTCACGGTGACCTTGAGGATGAGGTTTATATGGAGCAACCACCTGGTTTTGTTGCTTGGGGGGAGTCTAGTGGCCTTGTTGTCGGTTGCGCCGGTCCCTCTATGGTCTAAAGCAGTCTCCTTGAGCCTGGTTTGGTAAGTTCAGCACAGTTATTCAGGAGTTTGGCATGACTCGTAGTGAAGCTGATCACTCTGTATTTTATCGACATTCTGCTTCAAATCTCTGTATTTATCTGGTCGTTTATGTTGACGATATTGTTATTATCGGCACTGATCAGGATGATATTAGTAAGTTGAAGCAACATCTCTTTCAGCACTTTCAGACTAAGGATCTGGGCAGATTAAAGTATTTTCTGGGTATTGAGGTCACTCAGTCTAGCTCAGGTATTGTGATCTCAACGGAAGTATGCCTTAGATATTCTTGAGGAGACAGGAATGACAGGTTGTAGACCTGTTGACACTCTGATGGATCCAAATTCTAAACTTCTGCCAGGACAGGGGGAGCCTCTTAGCGATCCTACAAGATATAGGCGGTTGGTTGGTAAATTAAATTACCTCACAGTGACTAGACCTGACATTTCCTTTCTTGTGAGTGTGTTTATGGATTCTCCCTGTAATAGTCACTGGGATGCAGTTGTCCGCATTCTTCGGTATATAAAATCAGCTCCAGGCAGAGGCTTATTGTTTGAGGATCGAGACCATGAGCAGATCGTTGGATACTCAGATGCTGATTGGGCAGGATCACCTTCTGATAGACGTTCTACGTCTGGATATTGTGTCTTAGTAGGAGGAAATTTGGTGTCTTAGAAGAGCAAGAAACATAATGTGGTTGCTCGGTCTAGTGCAAAAGCAGAATATCGAGCAATGGCTATGGCCACATGTGAGCTAATTTGGATAAAACAGTTGCTCAAGGAGTTGAAATTTGGTGAGATTAGTCAGATGAGACTTGTGTGTGATAATCAAGCTGCTCTTCATATTGCGTCAAATCCAGTGTTCCATGAGAGAACTAAACACATCGAGATTGACTGTCACTTTGTTAGAGAAAAGATACTCTCGGGAGATATTGCTACAAAATTTGTAAAGTCGAATGATCAGCTTGCTTATATTTTCACCAAGTCCCTCACTGGTCCTCGTATTAGTTATATATGTAACAAGCTCGGTACATATGATTTATATGCACCAGCTTGAGGGGGAGTGTCTTGAGGGGGAGTGTTAGTTTGATAGTTAAATAGTAGTAAATAACCCTAATCCCATATGTATTAGGAGTAGGACATGTATTATATATATAGGGCTCATTATATCATTATTAATAATTAATCAATAATATTTTCTCCCGTGCATTCTCACAAACAGTAACACTAACCAGTAAGCATGGATGACGATACTTACATTTGCTAATAAGTAATAAGCAAGTCTGGAGAATAAGGACATAACTTACTGGGAATACATTAATGAAAAAAAATGCTGTCCTTTCAGATTGGAAGAGGTGAGACAGTTTTCTTAGAGTTGCAAGTCCATAAGTTATTCTTCAAGTGCTTCCATTGAGAAAGAGAAACCATTATTTTTGTGGGTCTGTATAACTATTTAGCAGGGAAAAAGAAAGAAAAAGAACTAATATAAGAATCTAGAAATGCCGTCTAGGATTTCACGAATCCTTGCTAAGGTAAAGCTGCATAAAGCATCAAAAGTGAAAATTGAGGAATATATCAATATGATAATACCTATGAAGTTTATGCTTTTTCTATCCTCATTGGAACAATGACTAGATGATAAGCAAAGACAGATTACTTAGCTCATATGACCAGACAGATCCAATGTTAAACATATATGTTTACAACTTTAATGCCTCAGACAATGGAAACCCCAGTAATAGCATATACTGCAAACTTGATACTGATAAACATGCTTGGAAGTGCTGTCCAGATGGAAGTTATTTTTGGAAAATATTTTGTGTCAGGTAACTTGACTTGGTTTTATCGTCATTTACTAATTCCTTTGCCAGTAATGTAGATTAATCTAGTCTTGGACTGTTTGATACCTCTGGTACTCTAGTATTAGGCAGGGGCTTCCGTTACACATACACGACCGGTGGGTGAGGCAAGAGATCAAAAAAGAATTTTTAAGTGATGGGAGCTTGATTTGAGTTTGTTCCTTAATAATTGAAGTTTTAGAACTTCCTCATTTGAATTGATTTTGCCATCTATTGGAAAGGGTTCGTCATTTTCTACCCTTTTGGGTGCATTCTACTAGTCTAGATCTTTTATGTGCATGGTTATTGTTATTTAATAAATTCATTTCCTGGTGAAGATTGAAGACTTACAGTTCTACGTTTTATATTTCTCTCTACTTCCTTCCTGCTCCTCTTTTGCTCTGTCCCCTTTTATCGCCTTGAATTTTTCATGTCTGTGTTTCTATTTACATCTTCCTGCTTGTAGATTTTGGATCACTATAAAGAGTCCCACGATGCACGAGTTAAGGAAGGTGCTGCTGCATCTAGGAGTCCTCCGAGAAGTGTAATATTGGTTGGTCATTCCATGGGTGGTTTTGTTGCTAGAGCTGCGATTGTCCACCCACATTTGAGGAAATTTGCTGTTGAAACTGTTCTGACACTTTCTTCTCCGCACCAGTAAATTGCTCTACTCTTGGAAGGCTATTATATGGTTACACTTCTATGCTATAAATGACTAATTCTTTTTTGTGCCTTATCCAGGTCGCCTCCTCTGGCTTTGCAGCCATCACTTGGTCAGTATTATGCACGTGTAAATTATGCATGGAGGAAAGGCTACGAGGTCCAAACTTCTCGATCAGGACATTATCTGTCTGATCCAGCACTCTCTCATGTTGTTGTTGTCTCAGTTTCTGGTGGTTATCATGATTACCAGGTACTTCTTCTATTTGATTTTTTACGTTTCAAGTACATGAAGGTGAAAATCTGAATTATAATTGGCAAATAAAATTGTAAGGCTTACAACGGGTATAATTTCATTTCCCTTCTTTCCGTTCCATGCAATTCCAGTAGGAAACCGCAGTTATTAATCTTCAATCAAATATCTTTGAAGTGAATGGTTGCTGGTTACTTTTAGAGGCAACTGACTAAACGTAAAATTCTTTTTGATTGGTATATAAAATCTTTTTATGTTCAGGGGTTTAACTTAGTAACTGCCATGCTATTGCTGTTGAATGCACTGCTCTATTAGCTTGTAAAGAGAAGTAGCTCTAGAACTTATTCTCCATCTTGGACTAATGTTAACTTATAGTAGAGTCTTATTCTTTCTAGTGGTTCTATGTTTGCTAACTTTCACTTTTGACTTATCCTTAACCTTTGTCTCCATATGACGATTAAAGCATACTTTATTTAAACGGACAGACCCTTATATAATGATTTAAGTATACTTCATTTCAATGAGCCAGATAGTATCTCCGGCTGATATTTGTGTATTTTGGTCTTTGGAATTTGTACTTTCTCTTGCCCCACCAATGCCCCTTATGTGAGCTGAGCTAACAGTTACGTATTGCTTGACTAAATATTTACCATTAGCTTCAATAACTTTTCATTTTTAGGTCCGGTCAAAGTTACAATCACTTGATGGTATTGTGCCTCCTACCCATGGCCTTATGATTAGTAGCACGGGCATGAAAAATGTGTGGTTATCAATGGAACACCAGGTTATTTTGTGGTGTAATCAGCTCGTGGTCCAAGTAAGTGAAAATTTTCCCAAGAGTCCCCAATTAAATTTGTAATAGAATAGCTTTAAATTTCAACATCAACTTTTTCAGGTATCACATACTCTTCTTAGCCTGATAGACCAGGAGACTGGTCAGCCTATATCTGATGTTCGGACGAGGCGGGGAATCTTCACAAAAATGCTTCACAGTGGAATACCTCCAAATTTTAATTGGTTAAAGCAACCGCAGCTGCCCCATATACCAATCGAAAATGGAGAAGCTGAATCTGGTATTCTCAGACCAACTCTCTATATCTACTTTATTCAGAGGCACAGACACTTATAGTGTTAAAATATATAAAGATGCATTTACATGCTTACACGTGTTCTTGTATCTGGGAAACAATTTGTTGTTCTAAAAGGTGGATTGTGGTGCAGGATCTCAGCCGCACAGCATGTATGCTTGCCCCCGTAGCATTCATTGGAGTGATGATGCACTTGAAAGAGATTTATACATCGAGACAACCACTGTTACAGTTTTAGCAATGGACGGGAGGAGGCGCTGGTTGGACATTGAGAAGTTGGTCAGCTTCCTTTTATCATTTATAAAAAGTTCACATTGTGCATATCTTTCATAGGGTGCTTGCTTATGTTGTGTTTCCTATCTTCAAGACAAATGCTTGCACTCTTCTGGGAAAAGGTCATACGTAATTATTATCTGAGAGACTCCTTAACTGCTTTGATAGCTTGGATGCAGCAACCTAGAATGTGTAGCATAAAATTTGATGCTTCTTCCAGTTTATAACATATCTTACTTGCATACTCAGGGATCTAATGGCAAAAACCACTTTGTTTTTGTCACAAATCTTTCTCCATGTTCCGGTGTACGACTGCACCTTTGGCCCGAGAAAGGAACTTCAGTTTCCATGTTACCGACTAATAAACGGGTTTTAGAAGTTACATCAAAGATGGTACAAATTCCATCTGGACCAGCTCCAAGGCAGGTACTTGGTTATGTACACTGTCTTCCAAATGCTCTGTGATGTTAGTATGAGTTAGTTTGATTGAAATTTTTCCTAAAGGGTGGTGTCTTTGCAATAGGTTGAACCAGGTACTCAGACTGAGCAGGCACCTCCTTCTGCTGTATTTTGGCTGCATTCAAGGGATATGCGTGGCTTCAGATTTCTGACCATCTCAGTGGCATCTCGCCTGGTACTTGTTCACAGGGTTTCAAATATGCTTTAGATTCTGTTTAGTCATGAGACCTGCCATCTTGGGAAATCTTTGTAGGAGTTCGTACCTGTTAGAGGTTATATCCCGTCACATCTTTATAATGTGAGATAGAACTTTAATTTCTGTACTTTACCAATAAAAGTGAAAGGAACTTCACTTTCTAGCGCCAAGTTATGCAGCCTAAGATTTCAGTTCCCAATGTCCTCTGCAGAAATGCTTTATACATTTAACTTTAGTCTTTCCTTTCCAGAAGTGTCTTATTCAGCATTTCTTCCTGACCACATTCATACATCCAATTTGTCCACTGTATACAGCATGGAATTCTCTCCTTACACCAAAATATACTAATGAAACTAAGGAAGATCTTTAATGTTTTCTACTTGTTCTCACTATTCTAAAACAAATTTCTATTTCGTTCATTCCATATGCTAAAGAGACACAATGGTAATGTATACCAGTTACCTTTTTTTTTTCCACTTCCAATCTCTGCATTCTCCACCTCATGGTTGGTTCCTTCACTGTTCTTGATAGCACACATGAGAAAACAAGGGCCTAGATCTGTGAAGCAAACTTGCAACACAATAAGAGATGATTAGTATTCTCTAAATCTTTGTGCATGCAACACCAACTAACAGATATCCTCCTCTTTCTTAAATTATATGCCTTTGGAGATAGCATTCCGCACTGCCCACGAAGCGAAAAAGCTACTTCTAGAGGCTTGTTGTGCTAAACCTTTTTCAGACCTCCCTCTTTTCTTCTCTTCGTGATAACTGCTCCATGTAGTAGGTTTTTACTATTAAAAAATCGGCAAAAAAAGTCAGTATCTTCTTAAGATGCAGGTTTTGTCGTCGACGAGTGAGCTTATGCATGATTTCAGGTTGCCTTACCACTTACATGAGAGGCTTTTACTGAAAACCATAAAGATTTTAGTATTTTATTATATGGCGGTGTGCATTGTAAAAGCAAAATTGATGCGTGAGAGAATCAATGGTGTTGAAGTTCATGCCTTTCCTTCTTCCTGTTTGTTGTTTAGCCCCTGGAACTGATTACTGAGTAATACAAGGAGTTTCGAATCTCTGTTGTTTTCGGGTCTTTAAACAAGTCTTCAAGTTTTCGATGCTAGTTACATCACTTGTAAAGGTAAAAAGAAACTAGAAGGTTCTGTTGCAAATACAGAGTTCAAATTGTCATTAACCATATTAAACAATTTTTTTGGTGTATAATCTTCTGCGACTGGTTTGACGAAGCATTAACTTTCAGAACTGTATAGCTTCACCCTTTAAGTTGTTTGAATGATTGCTTTTTTTAACTGGAGATACTAAGTGAAATAGTTGCTTGTACTTCCATTTTTAATCACTTTTCTGAATAAAATATTTTCTGTACAAATGCATTGGCTATTGCAGTCATGAGTCACTACTCTTGTTTTCTTCTTAATAGTCTATCCACTTCTAGTTTTTTAAAGGATTTTTGCTAATCAAATTGTTAACAGGGGAAACACTGCAGAGAGACGCATACTAAAATGTTGAAAAAGATGTAGAATACAGGGAGAGAACCGTCTTTTTCTCTCAATGTGTTTTAAACAGAAAATTACACTTGTCTTCTTCCTTTTATGGTATAGTTGCCGACAGATCCTTTTTGCAGTACTTTATATATATTCATGAGCTTTTGCAGTGCAATGTGCAAATTTGGTCTTGGAATAAAAGTTTCAGATGGAAAGTTCTGTTTCTCTTTCCGTTGACTGTTAATTGTGCTTAGCTCCTGGGTTGCTAATTTGACTGATTAGTTCGAGCAACAATATCATGATGACTTTATGATTTTCAGGCTGTTTCAGGAAGGCCTCCACCGGCCACTTCCATGGGAGTTGGGCAATTTTTCAATCCAGAGGATGGGGACACAATCTTATCTTCTCAGTCCTTGATTCAGGCTATGTATTTTTCAAAGGTTTGTATGGGTGCATCTTACTTACTAAAAAGGGTCAAGGAAACTTTGAATTATATTTACCTTTGAATACATTATTTTTTGGGTTCAAAATTTGCAGGAGATGATGTTGAAGGAGGATCACCCTCTTGCACTTAATCTGTCTTTCTCTGTTAGCTTGGGCCTCATGCCTGTGACGTTGTCTGTCAAAACAACTGGTTGTGGAATAAGAAAGTCAGAGTTCACTTCTGATGAATCTGGAGAGATGGAAATTGACAGTAAGATTTTCTTCCTTTTAGCAAAACGCATCTTGTACTGTTTCTTTTAACCAGTAAAGCATNTCAGTAAAGCATTTTATACTCTTTTACTTGGTGTTCTGTTACTTCCCAGTCTTCCACCAGTCCCTCCTAATTCCTGTAATTATTAGTGGAATTGATGTTTGAGGAATTTCTAGGAGGGAATTTTATGTTTGAGTTCCACACCTTTTGCTAAGTAAATGCAATACCAATGTAAGAAGGTTTATGTTTTCTCACTTCCCTTTAACTGCTATTCATTCTTCCCCATTTAAGAGATCTTTGAATAGAAATTGTTGTATAATAGCAATAACTGGTAAATCACATGTATCCGGCACACTTTCAAGTTGCCACCTTCTTATATAATTGCAGACGAAGTAACCAAGTCAAAAGTAATCCCTTTAGTTTATTCAGCTGAGTTTTAATCCAACCCAATGAGTTTCTTATAGAAGATTTAATGTCTCAGTTACTGTTATTTATTTGTGCTGCTAATGTAACTTATTCTTTTGGATGTAGGGCTGTGTAAACTTCGCTGTTTCCCTCCTGTAGCACTTGCTTGGGATGTCACATCTGGTCTCCATGTTTTTCCTAATCTATTCTCAGAAACGATTCTTGTGGATTCCTCTCCAGCACTCTGGAGTTCCAGCCTAGGTTCAGAAAAGACCAACGTTTTGTTGCTGGTATTATACCAAACCCGTTAGTTTCTTGTTCCCTCAGAAAGTTGATATAGACTGCTGCTCTGTTCTTAACTCTTTCATGACTTTATTTTAATATTTTTCCATCTTATGTACAGATTGATCCACATTGTTCGTACAAAACAAGTATTGGTGTTAATGTCACTGCTGCAGCTAAAAGATTTTTGCTTCTATATTTCTCAGAGGTGAATGCAAATTTAATCCCATCTCATTGGGTCTGACAGTTTTTTATACCATGCAGCCAGAGACTTTGCTTTTCATGCGCATAATTCTTGCATTTCACTGGCGACTTTGCTTTAATACCATTTGAGGATACTGATGGGGCCGCAGAATCTCCCATTTGATTGTCACACCCAACAATTTAAATATTTCATGTTTAAGAGAATCTTCTATGTTCCATTCAGTTAGGCTACGTTCTACGTTAATCGTTATACCTCAGAAGACTAGTCCTCAATAGTCCTCCTTCCTTGCTGTTTGAGCTATTTATAACTCTTTATCTGTCTGGATTTAAGTTAAAACGTTCTTCGGCACTTACAAGTGAAGCTGATCTGTATACCTTTCACAAGTTTCAAGGTTTCAGATTTAGGCTGTGGCATGGCCTTCCTCTATAAAACCAAAATTTACCTGCAGACTCCAGTGATAAATTTCATATATACTCCACTGCAATTCATTCTTGTGGCTACTCACTCTCAGGACAATTAAAACGCCGAGGTATAATATACTTTAAATTACTCATTTACATACATAATGCCAAACTTGGAAAAGGAAACAGTAAAGCTTCATGGGTTTAGGATGCCTTTGATTTCTCATTCAATAGTGGTTTGTTTCCCAAACTCGTAAGCACTTTGTTACACAATTCATTTATGAAGAAAGAATGAAGTATGGTGTCGTCTACGATCCTTCGTCAAATAGTCAAGCGTGTAGAGCAGAACTTATTTGCACTGAGTAAATGGAATAACGAATCATATATACCTTTTCTTCATATAAATATGATTCTATGTTCATCCGAAGTCTGATCCATGCATGTTTCCTGACTGATATATCAAAACATTATCAGTGGTTCAGTTACTCCGTGCCCCTTCTTTTGTAGTGTGAATCAGGTTTGTTTGTTCGCTGGATGTCTATGTAGTTCTTACAATTGGTGTTGATCTTTTCAGCATGGTCTTCTGTCTAGGTATTGCTTCTTTGTGCATTTTCTGATTATTGGGCTCATTGTTATTTGCTGTCATGGGCCTGTGCAGATTACTGGTTTTGCAATTGCTGTTGTCCTTTTTGCTTTAATGCGGCAAGCACGGCAATGGGAGCTCGACCAGCCTATACCTTCTCTCATTTCAGCTGTGGAATCAAATTTGAGGATGCCATTGCCCTTTCTCTGTTTGGCTCTGCTACCTATCTTATTTGCTCTAGTACTTTCCTGCCTCATTTCTCTACCCCTTCCTCCAGCCATAAGCTTCATCATTGTCTCAACAATCTGTTACTTCTGTGCAAATGGAGTGGTGGTTGTGGTGATATCAGCCTCCCAATTGTTATTCTATGTTAGTGCTTCGTTACATGTATTCATCAAGAAACGGTTAGATCCTCTCTTTAATATATATACCGCATTTATGTTATTAAAGACTCCATATAAATGGTTACCTAAAATTTCAAGAAACGGTTAGTTCCGCATTTGATGAAAGTGTTGCATACCTAAAATAAATGAATTAAACAGTTACCTCTCGAACAAGGTCCTGGATTTGAGTCTGGCCACCATCCATAAACAACAAATATATTTCTATGTACTTGCAACCCTCCTACAACCNAGTGACTACTCTCTAACATCTTAAGCTTTTTCATAAGGTAGTCACATAATTCAGCAGAAACCTTTATGACTGTAAGAAATTCATTACCAGCTGAGCTAACGGCAATATAATGTTTTGCAGGTCGCAAACTCGGGGACATAATTTCTCTTTTCTATTTGTCCCTTGGTTTCTTAATCTTTCCACTGCCTTCCTATCATCCAAGGTAAGTTTAGTTGTTACTTGCAAAAGCACAAGTTTGTACAAGGCTGGATTTGGACTTAAATTTCGGAAATGAAATTGAATGTATTCTGCATTCCTTGTTCTCTAATCTTAGTGGTTGTCGAAATTTCAATATTTAATTAAATTTTCTGCATTGTGCTTGTTTTCTTAATGTAAGTTTTCACTATTGAAACAGGTTGTCAGGATCATAAGATTCAATCCATTATTTGTTATGACACTGGTCTCTTTCACCCTAATGTGCTTCGCTCATCCAGCATTGGGTCTTCTTTTGTTGCTCCTTTCTCATGTTGTGTGTTGCCACAATGCTCTGTCGAGGTACAGTGCGAACTATATCACCCTTTCTCCACTTTTCTGTGGTGGTCTTATACTGTGTATTAATTTGGCTGGATTCTCCAGAAATTAAAACTCTGTTCAGTTGGAGCTGTAGAACTAGTGACCATTTCTTGACTATTGATATCATGGCCCTCCTGTCCAGCCGAAAGCTTTTCTCCATATCCAATATTGTGTGCTGACTCCTAACTGAATTCTGACCTATTCAGAACTTTTGAATAGATAAACATCTGACCACAAGTCATTGAAGAAAATAAATAACAAATTGAAAAGAAAATACTTCTTCCTTTTCATGGGAAAGCGTTGTGGGGAGAAGTGACTTTATTAGAGCCAAAAGCGTAAACGTCCTTCTACTATATTAGAATTTTGCCCATCAAAATTGATAGTGGGAGCAAATGTGGTGAGGAAATTGTCCAAAGCTGAAGGCTACCAGACAAAAAGCCATGAAGTCTGCTAGTTGGTTGGGTAAAAAGATGATAAAGTGAAAGAAGAAAAAGTCAATTACTTTGACCTCTTAAGTTTAGCAAAACTTAACAGACCTCCCTTCTAGTTTTAGAATTATCATAGACCCTCCCGTTGTTAATGATAGAAGTTCGTTGCATTAATTTCTGACGTACTTTTACCAAAATGGCTCTATTGTATAATGAATCTTTTAGCAACTTTAGCAAATTGGTATGATACAACAAAACCAATGCCTCAGTCTCTACTCAGTATTCACTTTCAGTAATTAAACTTATCCAAATATCTCTTTTTATCTTCCCGTAAGTTTTAGGTAAATACAATAATATTCGTGGCAAGATGTTGGGTAGACAAGTTATCATTGCTTATGAGGCCCTGTGTAATACGAAAAAAGAGGGTGGTGTGGGGAAGTTGAAATACAAAAGCAGAGGGGAGGTTTAAGATATTTCACAAACTAAAGGTAGGTGCAATAAGTTCCACTAGACCACATCACCCTGGAAAGAAAAGTATAAGGAAAGAAATAAATTAGGAAAAGTGAGATGTATATTCAAAAAGAAATCAGAAACCATAATTCTATGCTTGTACTGCATTTCTAAGTACATTTATCTTCATAAATGAAAGATGCAGCATTACTCATCAATTTTCACAATTGCTCTACATTTACTTGCCTGCTAATATTTTGATATTTTGTTATGACAAAGGTAGTCTAAAACCAACTCTTCTTGTCTGTAAACAGTTTTTTGATGGCTTCATTTCGCAGCCATACCCAGACTAAGGAGTTAATAGAATCTGGGAACAGAAGTCAGAGTGGATCTGAGCAATTCATACCCCGATATGATGGTGAAATCAACAAGCATTTCACTCAGGAGAATAATTCCAATAGTCTGGACTCGGTAAAAAGCTATGGTGAAACCCAACTAGAGATCTTCAACCATCGGCATGGCTTGCTTGTATTACACTTTCTTGCGACACTTATGTTTGTCCCTTCACTTATAGCATGGCTCCAGGTATTTTTTATCTTTCTTTAGGAGCAAGAGGTTTTTGCTACCTTACATCCATTTTTTTTTGTCATTGTCGAACCTCATTTCTTATCTCTGTGGCTCAAAAATGTTGGTTGCTCGAAATAATTGGAAGTACCATAACATTCTTTTTTGGTGTATGCGTGCACACAGAGAATGGGAATCAGTCAGAGCTTGCCATGGTTTGTGGATTCTATACTTTGCGTTGGTGTTTTGCTGCATGGTATATGTGATTCAAAGCCCGAGTTCAACTTCTTCTTGTTTCCTTTGCCGGGCATCCGAGGATGGGAGATAAACCTGAGCTTTGCCTATCTTCTAGCTGGATACTTTTCTTTTATTTCTGGCTTAGCCTTGGCTCCTTACAGAACATTTTATCCCATGGCTGCCATTGGGTTTATTTCATGTGCTTTTAGGATCATAGAGAAGAAAAGTAGGGAAAAGGGGGAAATGTACCATCGCCATAGAAAACACTCTCACAAACACTGAAAAAAATTCTCATGTAAGCAATGATTTTTCAAACAGAATCCATTGTTGTACAATGTTGCCACGTGCAGGATGTTCAGTGAGATTGTACTAATTGAACATGGCTTTGGTGCCACAATTTTGAGGATTTCTTTTATCACTTGCTGAATGTGTAATATGCCACAATTTTGAGGATTTCAGGTTGTGTTGATAGTTTGGTCTGGCTTTTATGCAATTTAATCATCATATCTATTGCAGATATCTAACGGATTAATTAAAAAAGTTTTTAAAAATAATACAAGTTTTTGAACAGACTTTTGGTTCGAGTCTCACTGTTATCTATCAACACGCTACAACAGGCTTTAACTTCTCTTCAAAAATTTTCCGTTATAATATGGGGTGTGAAATTAAAAAATAGCAAGATTTAGAAGTGGTAATTGAAAAATAGTTACAGTTTTAAAAGTAATTGAAGTTCTAACCACTTTTCATGTAAAGATAAATCTGAACGAAAATACTGTTCAAAATCCAGAAAATATTCCAGCATAATATATTAGAGTTCGAATTTTTTTACATGTGAGCTTCCAGCATAATATACTAGGTTTTCCAGTATAGTATAATATGCTGGAAATTCATACACACGTGCTTCAATCTCCAGTATATTATGTTGGAACTTTACGTGTGCTGGAATTCCAGCATAATATGCTGGAAGTTTATACATAGGTGCACCAATCTCCAGTATATTATGCTGGAACTTTCCATGTTGTGGCAAAATAGTGGCTATTTTTAAATTACTTTGCAAACGCCGTGAAAACTTGGCTAGCCTGTGCTATTTTCACTATAATATGTTATTACTATTTAACTACAAAAGCATTTTAATGCTGCGGTACCGTATACCATTTTACTAAGGGGTTGTTTGGTAGGGGTGTATAAGAATAGTGCGGAATAAGGTGTATTAGTAATGCATGGATTAGTAATGCATGTGTTAGTAATGCAAGCATTAGTTATGCATATATTATTTCTTATCTACTGTTTGGTGTGGTGTATTAAAAATTATAATGCATTGCATAATTTTTAAAAAAAGTAGTTGTTTACAAAAATGCCCTCTAATTTCTCTAGCTTTAAGGGACTTTAAGCACAATTTATCTTTAACCATACTAATACATGCATTAATAGCCTTGGTATTACTAATGTCATGGTTTTTTATGCATTACTTATACATAGGATAATACCAAGTATGATATATAACTAATACAAGTATTATTTCACAGGTTGAAAGAATATACCAAACAAGGTATTAATAATGCACAGAGCTAATTCTTGCATTATTTTTTCTAATACCTCCTATCAATCGACCCCTAAGATAATATCTATGCGTTTTTGGAGGTGTGCACAATAAATTCGGTATATTGCAACAATCGAGGGACCTAAGTAGATATTTTCCATTTTCAAAGGAGCCAAAAGAAACAGCAATAAGCAATAGCGTCCTTGAAAAATAAATAAAGAAAATAAAAGGAAGAGTGCAGCATACTAAACTGTACCACAACACACCTGATCGGCTCAAATATAGCCGTTACCCAAACGAAATCCAGAAGAATCTCATTCAAAAGAAAAATGACCGTTAAACCCTAGAGCTTTTTCTCATTCTTTCTCGGAACTTCATCACAAGAACAGAGGGAGAGAAAAAATAGGATGGTGAACGAAGATTCAATCAAGAGTCCCCTTAACACAAAAAGCAACCCTACTAAACAACCTGAAGAACCCAAAAATGGAGAAAGAGTTGATTCTTTGTTCAGCCCAAATTTCAGATCAGTGGCTGCTATGGCTGGTTGGGACGAAGAAGCTCTTCTTATTGCCAGTCTTGTTGTTGAAGACACTCCCGATCGCCTTCCTAAACAAAAGAAACGTTCCGATTTGCTGCATTTCAAGACTCCCCCAACAAATTCCAGAAGGTACTTTGCACTATTTATATGTCTTAGACATATCTTTAAATTTTTAAAATAAATTTATATATGTATATAGTGCATAGTATTGGCTGATTTGAATAAAGTAAACATGGTCAGTGAGAATTTACATAGCCAACCTCCTGGGGCGGAACCGGCAAGATCAATCCCATTCGCCAAAAAATTACACTATATACACAAGACCAAAATTATCTTTTATTATATGCGGCAGATGTTGAATGCCCTTGATTTGTCCATGTATTTACTTTTTTATATTTTGAATCCCATTGATAAAAATTCCGCCACTGCTCGACCACAACTTGTTTGGAACTGAGGCAATGTTGTTGTAATTTATATGTATATAGTCCGAGCCTAAATAGTGCAATCACTGCTCATATGTCGGATCCAGATTTGGATCAAACCTTGTCTGATTATATTATTAGTCACTTTTCTTTGATGGGGTATTGGGAAATGTTAAAAATTTGTGATATTTTTCAGGAAAAGAAGGGTTCAGAAGAGGAGCCCTGAGTCCATACCTGTGACTGTTCTTAATCTGGATGAAGAGGATGACACTGCAAAACAAGGTAAATTATGAGTCCCTGATTGAATTAGAGTTATAACTATTGGATAGTTTCCTGATGTTGGTGTTCTCTGTAGAAAGCGAGAAAAAGGAGGCAGAATCAAAATCCATTGAGAATTTAGACAAGAAACGAGCTGAGGCATCAGAAGAACCGAGATGTTCTGCTTCATCTTCTGATAAGAACATAGAATCAAAATCTATTCAGAAAGCAGAGAAGAAAGGAGCTGCAGGATTGCAAGAACAAGGATGTTCTGTTTCAGCCTCTTCTTCATCGGCATTTCCATGCATTGATCGACTTCGTGAAGAGCTTTCTTGCGCTGTAAGAGTCAATCCGTTGTTGAACCTTGATGCGTCTTTTCATTCATCGATAGAGGGGTGTTTTTTTTATTGCATTTTTTATTTCATTTTAGAAATAATTTCCTTGAATTTTTGCAGATTTGTTTGGAGATATGTTTTGAACCTAGTACCACTCCTTGTGGTCACAGGTAGAATCTAAATGACATTCTCATCAAGTTACATTCATTCATGAATTAATTGACTGACTATCTTGTTAATTTTATGTCTCTAGTTTTTGCAAGAAGTGTCTGAGATCTGCTGCTGATAAATGTGGAAAGAAATGTCCCAAGTGCAGGCAGCTTATAAGGTACAACTTAGGATGATATTTTATTTAAATGTAATGAGAGGAGCTTAAAAAGGATTTCAGTTGGTGTTTCAATTGTTTCAAGTATGATATATTCCTGTTAAACTTGATATTTGCAGCAATGGAAGATCTTGCACTGTAAACACAGTACTTTGGAATACAATTCAACTTCTGTTTCCTAAAGAAATAGAAGCAAGAAAAGCAGCTGGAGCTTTGAATAGTAGAGAAGCTCGACGCAAAAGTCCAGTAAGAGCTGCTACAGCTCATTCTAACATCTCTAGCAGCAGAATATCAAGAGTGTTCGCGCTTAACAGTCCAGAATCTGGTCCTAGTAGTCAAGAAAGAAGGAATTCTCGCTCCATGAGAAGACAAAGTGTCCGAGCTGCTGTAATGCCAAGCAGAAACAGAGACATTAATTCGAGGAGGGAGTTACCAAGCCAAGACGAGGATGCTGCATTGGCACTGAGAATGCAGAGAGAGGAGTTCATGGAATCCTTTAGGACTAGGAGTTCTGCTGATGAGCAGTACAGGAGCTCGCTCGCTTTAGCCAGAGCAAATTTGAGGGCCATGGCGTCAAGAGCCATTAACATTCGTGTTAGAGGAGGCCGTGGAACATAAATTTTGTATAATATTTTCCTTTGCACTTGGAACACCTGAAGTAAGCCATTGTTAGTTGTAATTTTTTATCAAGTTCTGATAGTTGAATTTTAGAATTTAACACCTCGTTTGCTCCTATTGATGCTTTTTTGTAAGGATGAGGTTAGTTTTAGTCTTCCTTTGTATCCAAAGACTGTTAAAACTCCATACAATGCTTCTATAAAAAGACTTAAGTCAGATAACAGTAGAAAGTACTATTGCAGTCTAAGCAAGTTTATATCAAAAGTGGGGTGAATCCTGTGACTGTGGGTTGTAGTCTAATGGAATGTTTTGAAAAACATCTCTGTTGCAAGCTTCTTTGTCAGGCCTTGTTTCTTGACATTTTAAAAAGACTAATCTTTATAACAAGCTTATTGACAATATAGTGTTTGTTTGTAGAGGTGGATGTAGCTCACAAGCTACAGACTTTAATATGTGGCTTAGATATATATATGTAAAAGACTATCAAAATCTCAATAAATATTACATTTTAAACCCGTAATTTTTAATCTGCAACGGGTTCAGTGCTAAAAACATATAGATGAATCCATCAATTTAAAATTCTAGATCCGTCTCTGTTTATTTGTGTCTGTGTGTTTTGTATTGTTTTGTTATTCCTTCTCCTTTTTAGATTATGATCATACGAATGATAGCTGTTGTCTACGCCATCATCTTGTTGATGAAGTCAAAGGATCGGCAATTAACCGTTACGTTGATGGTGGCCCAAGGAACCATATATTCTACAACTGTTATTAGCAGAGACATGACAGGAATAAGATAATACTATTATAATCTGGGACATGAAGAATTCTTGTAGCTGAGTAATGTTTTGTTTTTTGGTGTCTCCAGAGAGGAATATGAGAGAATGCTGAATGAATGTATAGAAATGCATATAATATGAGGATATATGTCATCTCATGTTACAGAACACATTCTATTGTTGCTCAATTATTGGCTTCATATCAGAATCACAAAGAAATGCACGTCATAAGATGCTAAAAATGAGTTTGACTTTCACCAGATACAAGTACAGGTACATAGAACATTCGACTTTCATTTTCAAATTATCTTTTGGTTGTGACGTAAATTCATGTACAAAAAGAATATGTCGACTATTTCATGTACAAATAATACAAAAAGAAATTATCACCCCCTGTATTCACTAAGTCGAAAACTTCAGATCATGTCAGTGATTTTTGCCAGGGTAAATTACCAGTGTTTGGGTCTGTGAACATCTCTGCTACTCGATTTCTTAGGCCAGTGTCAATAACTTCACAGAATCGACTAGACCAATCCAGTGGTTCAACAGCTCGTGTCCCTAAACCCGGGGCACGATCTTTCGACTCAATATTTCTGTGTTGTTGCCAATCAGACACATAAGTAGCTACCCTCCTGTAGAATTTCTCCTTGAACACATCCCACACTTGGTACTTGTAATGGTTAATCACCATCACATTTCTGTCCATATTAGCATACCTAAACCCAGACTTCAAATGAAAATGATGAACTACATTGATTAGTGTTGAATTCAATGCTTCTGGTTTCACTATACTCTTGTGTCTCTCTGGTGCAATCATCCTGCAATTGTAACCCATCGTCACCCCTTGTGTCGGGACATGTTTGAGACCTGACGGTCCAAAATTATGGCATGAGACCCTCAACTCAGCAACATTACTATTAGAATTCTGGGATTGATTTCTCAATATGTCAAGTAATGACAGACCAGTAGGCAAGTGGAAGAACTCGTCCACGTCCATAAAACCAACCCACTCACATACATCCCTTGCTCGTAACGCACAATGAGCAAAACCAGCCTCTTGAGTCTTGATCCAAGGCCAAACATGTCTGGTCACGTTTATATTCTGATCCACTGATAATACCTTAACAACATCTTCAATGTCATCCAAGCTGTTATTATCGTAAATGAACCAACGTTGTACTCCGATTTTGCTATGGTACATGATCCATTCTTGCAAGAAACTGGCCTGGTTCCTTAACATTGTGCACACACACATTTGATGCTGTTTTTGACCTGGCAAGTTGAGCTGAAGACGGCGTTTAGGACTCGCTATGGACTGTAAAGGTTCCTTACCAACCATTCTAACAGAAACCTTAATAGGCTGATCCATGTTACTATCAATAAACCTCTGTGGATTATTCAAAATGCTCAATGGAGTTTCACATCTAACAATTTCTTGAGCAATGGATATGACATCTGAGTGTAACAATAACTTGGGCTTCTTAACATCCCAACCATAAACACACTTGAATTTTGACGGGTCGGATTGTTTTCCGCCCCGGAGATTAAAGCCTTTGACAAAAACTATAGTTGTGTTATCGTGATCAATCATGGCCTCATAGGCCAAAGAATGCCACCGGCGTGTGGGCCCGATTGGGAAAGTATGACCAGTAGGCTTGACGGAAAGTGACGTCAGCATGCCACGTGGCTTAATCAGAGGACAGCGGATTATTTGTTGGCTCAAAAATTCATCATTTTCAACTGAGTGTGGAGATTGAGAAGAATTATTAGGAGTGAGGTAGAGACAGTCGATGTCATGTTTGGTAAATAAGGGAGTTAAAGGAGGGTATTTTAGGAAAACAAGCGTCTCATCTGGGAATTCAACGGTTTCTATAATTGAAAATTCCGGTGAAACACCGGAGATCGCTGTCTTCGCCGCCAGCCGCCATGGATAGAACCCTGTAGTTCGAAAATGGAAAGGTACTAATTATCTAACTTTGATACTATAATCAAATTACCATATTTAGAAAGGTTAATCAATCATCATATTTCAAAACTATTAACCGCTACTATCATAAGAACTAGGTCAAAAAACATACAATTAACAAATAATCAAAATATAGAAACTGAATTTAGGAAAAGAATAGGCAACAAAATACAGGGGCAGATGCAGCATAAACTCAATGGTTACGTGGAATATCACTTAAATTGCAACCAATATTATGTTCTGAAACTATAATTAAGTGCAACTGGTACAGTGACCAAAACATAAAGTTGAACTCGTCAAGTTTAAATTTCGAGAAAAAACTAGGAAAAAGAGCAGTTATTTGAGAATGAAATTAACATAACAGTAGTTTAAAGCACTTGAATTAAATGAGAATTAGCAGTAATACCTCGAAAAAGAAGACGAACAGAGGAAAAAGTGAATCCAGCGAAGCAGACAAGAAGAAGAATACACCAGAACAAAAATCTCCTAGGAATTTGAATGGCTGCCAAAACTGTACGTTTCTTACGATGTTTCATATTAAAGACAAGAATCTGAGGCAAACTCACTATTTTAATGATTCAAAATACTCTGTTTTTGAACAGAGATGACGATGATCCTATGATCATCAGCTTCTTCTTCTTTTTCTGGGAATTTTTGTTTTCTGTGTAGATTCTCTGGCAGCATAATAATAAGTAGCAGACTTTATACTTGGTCAAAAATGTCAAATTTGTTAATTTTCTTTTGCCAAATAAGAAACAAGTTAGTATAAGGTCTCCCACTTTCTTCCAACTTCTTTCTTTTTTTGCTTTATTTTATTTCAACATTGAAAATTCAAATTGCCACGCTAGTTGTTTCTTTCACTGTCTTGTATCAAATTCCATTTTCGTGGGATTTTTTGTGTAATAAAAAATATTGATAATTGAGACACATAATTCTTCATAGACTATTCTTTAATAAAACTTCTCTTTTTCTGTTCAGTTTTTATGCTTTACTATAAGCCTCCCCCAGAAGAGAATGTTAAAGACTTACCAAATGCCGTCAAAGGATATGGTGCAGCGGATGGGGCTGCTCCTCCCTTAATCAGAGGTATCGGATTTGAGCCCTGAGTATGAAAAAGTCTTTGGTAGGGAATATCCCCGAATGGGCCTTACTATCGATATATAATCAGGTTTCAATACGAGTATTGCACGCCGAGTGAAAAACCAAAAAAAGAAAAAGAAAAAAAGACTTACCAAATTATAGAGAAGAAAAGAACATGGGATAACGTTGAACGAAAAAGAAAAATGGTCAAATTTACTCCTTCACTAGTCAAAATTGAACAATTTTGTTCTCCTTCATATTTTGGGTCTAATCTTACAGTTTTTTTGGATGGTTTACATGTTATATTGTATTGTATTGTTACTTTAAATATAATATTTATTTTAATTTTTACTTAAATTTTATTGTATCGTATCGTCAAATTCGTCGTTAAAGGTGTCACTTTATACAATGACTGATTTGGCGTGGTCGCATCGCTACCTTATTTTTTCCTCTCATTTTATTGTAATATTGCAAGTTTATTCTTCATTTATTGATATATGACATCAAAAAACGACGAAATACAATACAATCTATCCAAACATTATTTATATTAAAACGATATATAACAACCATCCAAATTCAGTATTAGAAAAGTTTCATTTTTTTGCTTTTGACCACTAACGAGCCCCAACTTGAACGGTAAACAAAAGTAGAGGATATACCCAATTTTTTTTTCTCCAAATATTTTGACATGTGAAATTTATATATTATGCTTTTTTTTTTTTTTTTGCTAATATATATATGATGCTGGTACTGCATTAATAGTAGAGATATATACGAACCAATTTACTAGCAGTAAGACACAAGTGAACTCAAAGTATAACAAAATGTAAAATTGAACAATTTTTAATGTAGTGATAATTTTCGACCTTTTTTCTAAAATAATTTTTTTTTTAAAAAAAAAAAATATCTAAGAAAGGAACGGCATCAACTACCACTCCAGTTTCTTTCTTTCATTGTCTTAGATCAAATTCCATTTCCATGGGCTCTTTTGTCAATTAAAAAGTATATACAAGTGCGACACATAATTCCTCATTGACCATTCTTTCGTGGTTGAAAAATAACATAATCAAAACCAATAAATTAATATGACGAAAATGACAGGCTTGCTTATTGGACTAGTTTAGCTAGTGGATATTCCAAAATTCTAACCAGCAATAAAAAAACAATAAAGTGGATACCTTAATAAGCTTTATTTATAAAAAAAAAAAGGATTACAGGGTGCTTTGGCAGAATTTATTTTAATTTCAATTGTATCTTTTGTTTAGAGTAACATAGACTTTCTTTTTCTTTTTTGATTTGAAGCTTGACTTTTTCAAAGCCTGTTTGGTTTGGATTCTAATTCTATTTCTAGTTTCTTAGTTAAGAGATTACAACAACAACAACAACAATCCAGTATAATCCTACTTAGTGGGGTCTGGGGAGGGTAGTGTATACGCAGACCTTACCCCTACCCTGAGGTAGAAAGGCTGTTTCCAAATAGACCCCCCGACATCCTTCCCTCCAAGAACTTCCCACCTTGCTCTTGGGGAGACTCGAACTCACAACTTCTTGGTTGGAAGTGAAAGTTGCTTATCATCAGAGCAACCCCTCTTGGTTAGTTAAGAGATTATTAGATTATTAATCGGTATCCTCAATGTTGTACTTTGGTTATTTGGTTAACAGGTCTTTTTCTAAACGTTGGTTATGATTATAAAACTGATTTGATCAACTAACTAATAAGGTGGGCAAAAAGAAAATATAAACCAGATACGCCCTATTGATAAGGACTTAGAAATTTATTGGAACGCTTGTCCTAGCTTCATAGGTAGGGATAAATGCGTACGCACTATCCTTCTCAAATTCACTCGTAAGATTTTACTTGATTGTTATTGTTGTTGCTGCTTGTCGTAGCTTTCTCCTTTGAATTAATTCGAATTTTGTGTCGGATATATCCATTTAGGAGCGTAAAATACTCCCTATAAAGAAAGGTTTTAGTTTAATGGTCGAATAAAACTTTTGGTTAATGATAGAAAGATTTTAATTATTTCATCACACCTCGCCCTTGGGGTGAAAATTGACTTTTGCCTCTCTTCTTGACTTCTAATTGTACGTGTTATGAGTATTTTCTTTTTAATATTTGTATACTTAGCTGTATGAACCACACGTCATTTATTTTCTGGTTCATATGTTGTTGTCATTATTTCTATTGTTTTCGTTGACGGTACTGATAAATTGTTTCTTCTCGTCTTCTTGAGCCGAGAATCTATCAAAAACAACATATTTACCCCATCGGATAAGGGTAAGGTCTGCGTACGCACTACCCTCCCCAGATCCCGCGTGTGGAATTTTACTGAATCGTTGTTGTTGTTAGCTTGATGAACCGATAAAAATAAAAACATATGGGGGAGCATTGTTGTAGAAATTAATACATATGTGATCTTACGAAACTATTATAAGCTCGATCCATTTCACTGCCAATTTATATTTACATGACTTAAGTAAGACTTTTGACATCAACTACATTTTCTTGAAAATGCTTTCACATGCTGGGGATAATATTTTAGAAATATAATAATCAGAGTAAAAATGTTTGGTTTATTTAAGCTACAAGTTTAGATGTGTCATTATCATAAACTAAATTGATAAGCATTAAGTAATAGTCATTGGGGGAACACGTGTCATGATTATGATTTTGATTAGGTTGTATGGAAGCAACTAAGAAGAAAAAAGAGACAGCCACTTTTGACGGTTTAAGGCTTTCATCCGGTCGAGTTGCCAAAAAAAAAAACCGGCCGCCGGCCTTTATGACGTGATCAGGGACCACAATGCGTGGCGGCTGATCGATGCAAGTTACTTCTGCTGAGTCACGATTGTTGATAAATGGGTAGTGAGTAGCACTTTGGGCCTCTCAAGATGGGCCTTATGATAAAAAGCCCAACTGCTGTTGCAAAACGAGTGAAGAATGCGAGATCTTTACCCAAATAGCCGGTCAGATTCACTATTTATTTTCTCCAATCAATATATGTAAATTATACATTAATTATATATGATTATATACATAATATACATGAGTCATACATATATCATATGCTATTTTAGTTAAGGAAAATTTTCGTTCCTATACCATATAAGAAACTATATTACCAAATATGTTCATAGTTTGCATATTACCCGCCATGCTAATAGTATATCTACAAAATATAGACAATTTATTAAATAAAGAATCATTATAGCTGTAGGCTTCCTTATTTAGGCGCGCTAAAATCGGGGAATTAAATATTTTTCCAGATCTTTTACAACGCAAATCACGCACATCAATAATTATCGTCAGTTTCGTTTCAAATTTAGCTACTCTATTTTTACGATACACTCTGTTTCAATATTTTTTCTGATTTCACAAATAAAAAACAACTAAATCTTCTATAATTCTTCTGCAACACAACGCAATTATGTCCAAAATCCCAATTATGCTACAACTGAATGAGAATTGGGATAGCTATGGGAGATTTAGAGAATTTCAGGCTGATGGCATTGTAGTCGATGATGATGCGAGTTATAGTCTATTGATTTCTACAATAGCACAACAATTAATGATTGATACATCCAAAAAATTATAGAAATCAAATACATTGTTAACGACTATTGTCTTCCAATGGAAATTAGGAACGATATGGGTGTACGTGTATACATGAAGACGAAAAAGGAAAACAAAAACTTAGGATCATATCCGCTATGTATAACTATTCGCGATTTCAATATGGAATTGAGTATCACCAATGAGAACACAACTGCAAGTTTGTATTGTTCATTTTTCTATCAAATTCTGGTTGTATGTCAATATCCTACACTTTATCTACATTTTAACTACAAANTACAGAATGTCAATGTTTCTACAAATTATCTACAAAATTTCGACAAACTGTTCATAACAATATTTATCTTTATTTTCGTGCAGCTTCGTCTGGAACACTAAAGCTACTTGATATGACAACATCTCCCGTTATAGAGGAATATGAAAGTATAATAATAACAGATAGTACATCAAGTTTTATTGAAGTAGGACAAGTATACCAAGACAAGCAAACAATTGCAACTGCAACAAAGCACTATTTTGTCATGCACAAGTTCCAATTCAGGGTTAAAAGATCTAGTGCTAGAAGGTATGAACATATGAATGGTCAAAGATCATTATTTTTTTTAATTTTGTAGTTTATTTATAATTTTTTACTTCTTCAGTTTTTTCTTATGATAATGTTTATCTGTATTGTAGATGAATTGTAGTTATGTTATATATAGATTGTATAATGTGACCGTTTAAGCTAAAATAGTCTTTTTTCTTTTTAAATCTACATTTTAAAACAATGTTTAAATAGTATTTATTTTGTAGCTACTGGGTGATATGTGTTGGTGAAAACTGTACATGGCACTTCAAGGCAACTAGCATAAATGATTCTGCAATGTTCAAAGTCAGAAATTTCGACAACCAAGACACATGCTCTTTAATGGACAATACATTTATACAACGCAAACCTACTGCCATGGTAGTTGGTAGCATGGTTATTCCAAATATTCTGATTCTAAGACAATTTACACACCAAAAGACATACAATTTGACATGTTTTTTGAGCACGACATGAATCTAACCTACATGCAAGCTTGGAGAGCAAAAGAAAAGGCTTTACAGTTTTTGAGAGGTCCTCCTGCTGACTCC